CCATGTGTCCTATGGTTATGTATTTGTCTAGATCTTATGTCATACAGTAAAGGGATTACTTTATTTGTAAGACTGTCATAGGTTGCTTCAATAGTAAGTAGGCTTGGCAAACGGGCAAGTATGGATCGGGTAGCGACGGGTCCCAGGTGAAACAAGTATGGGTTCGCAGGTAAAATTTACTAACGGATCGATATATACATGACCCGTACCCGCCCGCGCGGGTACGGGTCACCCGTGGAAAATGACATTTTTTGTATTTTCCATATTTTTGTTATTTTTCACTGTTTTTCTGTATTCAAATTGCTACTGCCATGCTGCTGCTGCCGTGAGAGAAGAGAGTTGACTGAGATGAGGGTTGTTGACTTGCTGCCGTGAGAGAAGTGAGAGAGTAAGGGAGTGGAGCTGCTGTGAGAGAAGTGGAGCTGCTGTGAGAGGAGTGGAACTGCGTTTTTTGTCTTTTTTCAGTGATAAGTTTTCACTTAGATTAGGGTTTTGGTTTTGTTTTCTTTAGTTTTTACTTTTTAGAATATTTTATTTTATTTTTTTTAATTTCAAATTGTGGGTTCACGGGTACCCGCTGGTATTACCCGGTCCACCAACAAATATCACGGGCGGGCCGGGTACGAGTCAAATTTTCACAGGTCGACTTATGTGTTACACGTACTCGCTCGTTAAATACGGGTATCCGTTTACCCGTAGGTACAGGTGGGTGATTGCTAGGTCAATAAGGTTTAGGATTGAGTTATCATTTAGGTCATATGTCATCTTATGAGAGGGTTGTTTTGCCATTAAGTCTCCATGAAGAGCGGTTTGCTAGGTCACATGTCATGTCATAAGGAGGTTACTTCATGAATAAGTTTGCCTCCCAAAAAAGGTTTTGAAAATTTCATTTTTCTCAATAGCTAAAAGCAATTGCCTTATTTGAGTGCAAACAACTTTGTACACACACAAAAACAAAAAAAGCAATAAAAGTAATAAAATAATAGTGGGCTTAAGATTTGTATTTTACATTCAACTCACTTTAAAAAAAAAAAATTTATTTTTTATTCTTTGTTTATTTACTTGCATTATTAATTTTTTCTCATTAGTTCAGCGTCATATTCTCGATTTCTCATAAATACTTGTGTGAAGTTTCTTGAAGGCTCGCATACTTATCATTGATGCGAGAAATCGCAACAGCCCAGTGGATTTAATGGAATTCCGGGTACAAAATAGAAAGAAAAACACTTTGTTTACTCACGACTTGTACTAACCTCCTTACAACCTTTGTTAAAATTTTACATGGTACCCGTACTATGCGTATAGTATCAGTACTATGCGTTATATTTACAAAGGATAGTAAGATGGTTAGTAAGATGGTGAGTAAGTATAGTATGGTTGAAATAGAAATGTTGAATAACATTGTACAACTAATTAATAATGTAGGAGAACGTGTTCTTCTAAAATTTATCGATAAATTAATTCTCTTTACTTTTCCTTACTTTATTTCAATTGTCAAATCGATACTTTATATCAACAATCGAACCAATCTCTTGTTGCCAAACCAAGTAAAAAATACTTATGAGATAAGGTGAATATGACCATTAAATTAAGCTTTATCATAAACCTATCAAATGTGGTTATATGTGGAACACGTGTTTCCATCAAACATGTGTTACACTTCCTCCTTAAAAATTGGCCTTCGTTTTTCATAGAAAATCGTAACAAAAAGAAAGGCAACGGGACCAATCCATCAAGCATCAATTTTCATGTTTACTCCATCTATCATGCGTATTGACTTAAACAAGTTTTGCCAAGAAACCATGGCCAGGCCCATGGTTGCGGAATCTTTAAGATGTCGTTAATTAATTGTTATTGCTTTCTTGATGTGAGTCTCATTTCTTACCTAATAAGATCTTATTGAAGGAAATGATTACATTCTCTAATAGGCTTAAATATGTCTAGTTAATGTGAAACTTCAACACTCCTCCTCACTGTCAAATCCATATGTTGGGTCATGCCTATTGATGGAGGTAGTAGCTAGTTTTAACTCTTTACTCGCTGGTCAAGTACTCAGCTTCACTAGGTTTAACCCTGATATCATGATAGAATTTGAGTTGGGTTTGACTTTTCACCTAATAAGACTTTATTGAATGGGAGAATTACCTCCTCTAGTAAGCTTTAGCATGTTTAGTCGGTGTGAGACTCCAACAATAACTATGGTTCGCCGATCATTTCTTGAAATGATAATTAATAGTTAGAGGACTATAATTGACGAACAAAGGGTGGAGCTAATAAGTTGATTTTTGGGGGTTAAAGCGTAATGTATTGCGATTGAGTTAGGTTAGAGTATAAACAATGAATTTAGAAAGTTTAGGGGACAAAGTGTGAAGTTTAACAAATGAAGGGGGACAAAGGGTAAACTTAATCTATAAGGATGAAATATATATTTCTGTACGAATTCTGAAAATTTTTGTGGATATAGCTCCGTCCCTGTTTATGAACCTTCCATTTTTTTATGAGTTAGCTCAATTATTTCGCGAAAATGATAGTTAATAGTTTAGGGACCATAATTGATAATCCTCCAGTTTGAGTAGGTGTTTATCTGAGCTTATAAAAATTAGCTTATAAGTGACAAATGCTTATTAACTATTATTTATAAGTACTTATAAGTGATTGATAAGTAATTAACGTGTTTGATAAAATGTGACTTATAAGTACATTTTATTATAAAATGACTAAAAAATGTACTATATTAAATAAGGATAATGTGGTAATATACTTGATCAAACTAGCTTATAATCAGAGTGTTTATAAGTCAAAAAAAAAAAAAAAAAGGTACCTCCCCCTAACTTATTTTTTTTTTTTGCTTATAAGTTCAACTTATAAGCTCAAAAAAGTTATAAACAAATACGTCAACTTAATTTTAGAGTTTATAAGCTAGTTTGACCAGCGTATAAGCTCAGACAAACATCCCTAGATCATTTTTCAAAACAGTAGTTTGAAAAATTGTAATTGATGAACCCACACGCAACTTTAACTTAATAATGGTGATATGGTACGAATTTTCATTTTATTTTAATTTGTTGACTTTTAATTGATAGATTTCTCTACGACAATTCTTGTTACTCCAATTGGTCTCTCTTTTATACAAAAATTCACATAACAGTTGGAAAATAAGTTCATGTTGGTTGTCATTTCAAAGGAACCACAACCATTAATGCAAAGCTTTGGTTGAGATTTTCAGATGTTAAGAAGAATTGAGTCTAGATAAGACTTTTTGTATCGAAATTTATTAGATCTTCAATATTAATATTGTCGTTGAATCTTTATTATTAACTTAATTAAACAAGTTATAAGTTGAAAGAGATAAAAAACTATTACTTAACCCCAGAGGTTTTCACCATTAACAATTTAAGCCATTTGGTTTTGGATATATAACCCTCAATCCCTTACAGTTTGTCAAAGTTGAATTTTATAAGCACACATAAGCACCTTTTTAACCCTTGTTTATATGTTAAAAGTCCCTTTTTTACTCTTAAAAATTACTATAATTCATATATTTAACAACTAATTGATAATCCCCCTTTTAGAATTTAATAACTAATGTTAGTCGGCAAGGGTTGAGTCAAATACTTAATATTAGCCTCTCTTATCCATTAGATGGGTATTAACTTAGTTAAATAACGCCTACTTTTAAAAACTTATATTTTAATGCTATATTGTCGTGGACCTGGCTGGACTTGAAGATTCAATCTAACCCCATTAGAGAGGCCAGCTAAACTCTTACTCAACGACCACAAACTACACAACTCATTGGAAATATTTTGTCAAGTAGGCGTGATGAAAAAATGAAAAAGAAACCGAGGATAAAATTTCTACTACTTTCCCAAGATGATGCAAGAGCAACCGACTGAATAGTTAATTAAAAAGAATTATGTATTATTAATGGCCTGTAGCAAATCAACACTGTCATATTACGATTGACAGCATATTCATTTGGGTGAAATCCAATTAGATTATTTGTCCATTTGTAAGCATGTTGTGTCTGTAATGTGAACACCAATAATTGAACTTTTTATAATTTAATTTGACCCGTGAACTTGATGAATTGAGATCAATTTTGAGTCTGTGAACAGGATTAATTTATGTTCAACAAGTTGATACAAACAAAATCGGATCATAAAAAAATTTGCACAAGTTTCAAAATATTCTTATCACCAACCAAATTTGTTTTATATACGTATGATTAATATTGAATATTTTGTCCATGTATATAGTTTGTTGGGGTGAATCTGAACGGAAATACAGATGCAATAGAGATATGCGAAATCAAAATAACAGACAAACAAACGTACATATCACAAACAATAAAACCAAAAAAGAGGTACGTTTTACTCTAGTTCATTCAATTAATAGATTACGTCTAACAAAGTCAATATCATTTCAATACTATCTCACCTCTCTGATTTACAATGAAGTAATTTACTCTATGATTGTTATAACTTATTATAATAGAAAAGTGTATTTATATATTAGGTTTAAAAGACTAAAACCTAATCTTATAAGGATTTTTATTTCTAAACTCAAATTCAATAAGAAATTAATAACTTAAATAAATCATTTAACGGTTGTATAAGAAAAAGACCTAAACCGCCTACGAGTTATGGAGTGTTGCCCCTGCGACCTTCACTCACTCACCCAAGAGTGGAACCCCCGCCCGAACCCTCAAATACATCTAAGTGGCTCATTGATGCTAAAATAGTCCACAATTCCAAGATTCCAACCGAACGCACCCCACCAAGAAGAAAAACGAATAAGTTCCTTACATAATGCTTTTGAGAAATACTAATGACACACCAATGACATAATACAATGACCTCACCTCTTCAATTAGCTCCATCACGTGATAGAACTGCTCCTCCCATTTGCCCACTTGCCCAACTCAACTTTCACTGCAACTCCTTATAAAGTTTAAACCCATTTCCACAAGTTATAATAATCAACTTCTTTAATCTCTTTCTTCTTCTATATATATATATATATATAGAGTGAGAGAGAGAGAGAGAGAGAGAGAGAGAGACCGCAGTTTAGAACTTCTCCACAGAAATTCCTCTCAAATATCTTCTTTACACGTTTTGCTTTAGCTTTACAAGAAACGTCTGGCCATTATGCCCAACCAAGTTATGTTCTTTAGCAATCTCAGCTCTTGCTTAACGGAGCACTGGGGTGATTTGCCCTTAAAAGTTGACGACTCCGAGGACATGATCATCTACAACTCCCTCCGTGATGCCGTTAATTCTGGATGGTCTCCGTTAGATGTTACTGCAACCACGACAACGGTAAAAGCTGAGCCCAGAGAAGAGCTCGAGCTTGAGCGGGAGCCAGCGGCTTCGAATTGCATAAGCGAAAGTATTAATAAAAAGGAAAAGATTGTTAAGGGGAGACATTACAGAGGGGTGAGGCAGAGACCGTGGGGGAAATTCGCGGCGGAGATAAGAGACCCGGCAAAGAATGGCGCCAGACTATGGCTTGGAACGTATGAAACGGCTGAGGAAGCGGCTTTGGCTTATGATCGAGCCGCTTATAGGATTCGTGGGTCAAGGGCTTTGTTGAATTTTCCTCACCGGGTTGGTATTAATGAGCCGGAGCCGGTGAGAGTGACGGCCAAGCGTTCGGGTAAGAAGAGGAAAGGTTTGACGGCTAATGAAGCCGGACTCACTGTGTTTCAGATTGGCCTACTGGCGAGTGGCGAGCAATTGTTGGTCACTTAATGCTGAGCTGGAATAGGGTTTTGTTAATTAACTGTGTAAATTGAAAAGGTGTACACTGTAATTGTCGGCAAAGTGTGAATGTACTACTATTTTTATGGATAAAAATTAAAAGAGCTTGTTTTTGATAAAATATTAGCAAATGAAATTGGCCATAACCACCCTTATAATGCCAATGTGGAAACAAAATTATGCTTTTCCTTTTCTTCTACTGGCTAACTTTCTTTATTCCATTTCCATATAGTCTTTAATTAAGAAAGGTAAAATATCATTAAATTCATTAATTAATTATGTCTGAAAACGACCCTTTAATAAAGAGTAAACAATTTTTCCTACTTAAATAATGGTTTAATGGCATTTTTCTATACATAGACTTTTAAAATACTATTTTACTATCTAAATTTATATTCAATTTCCAATTCTGACATAGTTGCCACCTTACACCACTATCATTTTCTTCTCTAATCATCTTTCATCAAAACCCCTCAAACCTACTTCCACCAGTCCTACTAATCGCTGACAATCGACCAATTAGGGTTTGTACAACCATCCCTCTTACGTCAAATTTTAATCAATCTTAACCATTGAAATCCAATGTTCCACTACTAAAAAACTTATCGGTCTCTCCTCTTCAAAAATCCCAACAGTCTGGACCAAGTTTGCTTTCTGTTTACTATCGGAGTATAAATTTAGATAGTAAAGTGGTACTTTGAAAGTCTGTGAGTGAGAAAGTATCATTAAGTCATCATTTGGGTAAGAAAAAATGATTAACTCTTTAATAAAACTTTAAAATATTACATAAGATTTTATATAAATATAGAACGATTAGGATATGAACAAGAGAATGTCAATATCATGAAATTTATAATGACCTAGTTGGTTGGGAACAGATTTGGGGTAGAACCAAACCGATTTCCATGTATTTTTAAATGAATTAATTTAGATATGATCTATAATTGCATACACTTTCTATGTAGAATATACTCAATCAGATCAGAAATTTGAGTAACTCTCCAATATATTTCTAAAGGGTAACATAACACTTGGAAGTTTATGTATATAAAAATCAAAATTAACCTTGTGAAAAGGAATAAATCTTAAAGCATAGATCGGAACTACAAATCAAACATTTGAATAAAATATTTTATTGATTGGCTGAGTCAACTGCGCTTGCAAGCTACTTTTCAATTAAAAAAAACAATTAATTTGGTTAAAGTTTCTCAAGAAAAAAATAAGAGATTATCCATTAATTTCTTTATCCACCTACCACCATGCATGTATCCAATTTTGTTGAATAAAGCCTAAAGATTTTGAATAAGTAACATAAAATCATTGATTTATTAATTGTACTTTCTTATTAATATTTTTGTACGGCGCAAAATGTTTAATTTTATAAATATGATTGTAATCAAACTGATTTTGCCATTTTGGTACCATGCAATAACATTATCATTAGACCTAAAAAATTAAAATTTAACATCCAGCAATGATATATATAAGCTTTAATTAACATATATAATCTCAAATTTCCCATTGGATATCGTGTTTTTGAGAAACAAAAACGTGTACAGTATTTCTTTTATCCCAATAAATTGAAACGTGGAACAAACACTTAATAGACAGATAATTTTCCAACTCTTCGAAACCCTTTTTTACTAACAAAAAGGGGATCCTTGTTTGAATCTAGACTTGTTTATTAAAGCATAAATCTACAAGGGGAAGGGGTAAGGTGTGAGTTTTCCAAGTTAAAGATTGAAAAGGTTTATTTTTTTTTTTTTAATGACTAGGGGTATTCAGACCAATTTACAAGTATATCAATATTAATCTCCCGAGACTCTAGAATTATTGACTGAGTAAGAGCTCCAATGACTACCATTATTAGTAACTGAGTGACTACCTCTATTAGCAATCAAGGAGTGATTTAAACTCAGAGTCTCTTGAGCAATATCCAAAAGTTTGTATCAAACCACTCCCACACAGAATTAGTTAAAGATTGAAAAGTTGATAAATATGAAAGGAATAAAGTTCAACTAAAAATATCAATGAAATATACAATTTTATTTTCCAAAAAGTGAACACATTTTAGGATAGTGGTTGGCCATACACCAAAAAAGCCAAAAAACTTGGCAAAAATTTCCATAGAAATCGATCACAAGTCTACACTGAAACCATGAAAGATAAATCCCACAAACTGATTTATCAACGTCTAAAAAGATATGCACTGAAAAGGCATAAAACGTTGTTGATGGTCCATGGCGTAAGAAAGCAAAAACATCCCAATTTTGAATGATTAAATTTCTCCTCCCTATTGCTTTTTTGCTTCATTAAGTCTTTGACAAACCATTGCATCTAGTCTTTTAATAAAGTAGTCTACAAACTAATAAAAGCTTGAGGGGATTTTTGACTGTGGATAATCTTAGTTATAAGAGTCTTTAGTTTTTACGTTTCATAGACCTATTTAGTTTGAATTATATTAGTCAATAAGCAATAACATCGGATTGAATAATACAACTCAATTAATGCATGTTATCAAATTAAATGTTAGGTTTACCTTACCTAAGATTAAAACATCTATATATATGTCAACTCAATTAATGCATGTTATCAAATTAAATGTTAGGTTTACCTTACCTAAGATTAAAACATCTATATATATGGCCGACGTTATTGCTTATTGACTAATATAACTCAAACTGAACAGATCTATGAAACGTAAAAGCTAAAGACTCTTATAACAAAGATTATCCACAATAAAAAATCTCCTCAAGTTTTTATTAGTCTACAAACTAATAAATAGATTTGTGTCATATGGCCTTTATTTTCATGGCTTCTTCAATATTTCAATTAAATTGTTTTCAGATTATACTGTTGTATAAGAGTTCTCTTCTCAACATTCTTAAATTTTTTTTATTTCTAAAATAATGATAATAAAAATAATTCATTTTCTCTTCTGAACAATCAAAATTAGTTTTTTTCTTTGACTCTAAAAGTCTCTTGCTTAAAAGTTCACATTTTTCAATAAGATTTCTCTTTCTCTGATTGATTTATAGATTTATCAATAATACCTAGTGGGTTATCCTGCAAAATTTTTGCTTTTCTTGACAAAGTTTTAAACGTTGATTGTAGATGTCAAATGGTGACATATTTGAGAAGAACCATGATAATATGGACTTTGAGTTCAATTTATGGATATTTTATTTATTTATTTTTTAATTATCAATTCAATATAGAAAATATATATTTAAATCACAAAAAAACCACTAATAATGTAACAAAAATATAATAAACATACCCGTGCAATGCAACTTGAAAATGAATATAAGTTATCGGAAAATTGCAAAAGGTCAATATAAATTTTAAGTTTAAATAGTTGATCTTGATAATATTCAAGTGATATTAAATATCATACACGATTCACTACAAAATACTGACATTGAATATCAAAAGTATGTTTGCAAAAATAATAGCAATTGTACAAGGTGATGATCCCAAAAATATAATTAGATCATATAATATTCATGTGATCTTTTCAAGTTGAATAAATGATTTAATGACATCTACCCATAATTGATATCAATAATTATGTAGGTACAATTATTAATTTTATCTTAACACAACTTTGTATATATATATATACATTAAAATTTGTATAATGTAACAATTATTATGTCGTAATCTAATTTATTTATTTTGTTAAAATAAATTTATTTACACTCTCTTTCAAAAATATTGAATAAACATACTTGCGCAACTTACGGGCCCTATGACTAGTTTTGAAAATTAAGCATGAAAATCGACATATATAGGAAATTAATTTTGACTTTTCATAGTGAATTAATTAATTATCAAATCATATAATCTGATATAGACTGTTTTTTGAAAATATCAATTGGAGAAGCATATTAGCTATAGTGGGCTAGGAATAAGTAAGTCCAGCCCAGTATTAATTCAGCCCATGTAATCGGGTTTTTTTCCCTTATGCCTAGCCTCAATCCAATTCAAAACAAAGGGGCTGGCCCTCCCTCATAACACAATACAGTACTCCTCAATAAAGGTGGAAAAGTAACCCGCCCGGCCCGCGGCGGGTTACTTTGTTTGGTGGGCCGGGCCTAACCCGCCCGCCAACAAAGGCAGGCCGGGTTAGGCTCGCCATTTTCTCCAAAATGGCTGGCCCAGCCCGGCCCGCTAGCCCTAACCCGCCGGGTTAGGTGGCGGGTTGGGCCGGGTTAGCCCGATTTTCCTTTTTTTTTTTTTTATTTAACTTTTCAAATAAATATTTATAAATATAATTGTTTTTAATTAACTTTTCTAATATCAATAATTCAATTCAATTTTTTTGTTTGTTAACATTTCAAATATTAATTCAATTTTGATACAATAAAATTATAATATAAGAAAAATTAGACTTATTGGAGTATGGAAATTGGAATTTGGAAAATTGGAAATATGAATTAAAAATTGCAAAAACTAATAAAAATTAAAATATGAGCAAATTGCAAAAACTAATAAATGAATAATTGAGAGATTAGAGATTAGAGAATATGAGAGAATGAGAGAATTTGAGTTGTGAGAAAAATGTGAGAACTTAGGGCCAATTTATAGAAAAAAAATAGGAAAGAGAAAAGACGAAAAAGACCCTTTCAATGGCTATAAAACGGCTATATTTCAAGGGTAAAGGGATAATTTGAAAAAATAAAATAAAATTTTTATTTTTTTTTATTTTTTTCGGCCAACCCGGCGGGTTGGCGGGTTGTAACGGCAACCCGCCGGGTTGACACAACCAACCCGCGGGTTGCCGGGTCTCTTGCAAAAGAGACAAAATAGCAACCCACCGGGTTGCGGGTTGCCATTGTGCAACCCGGCCCGCCGGGGTTACTGCGGGTTAGGGTCAACCCGGATCGCCATCTTGGCGGTCTGGGCTTAACCCTCATTTTCCCGGGCCGGGTTAGGGTTGACCCGCCTAACCCGGCCCAAATTTTCACCTTCACTCCTCATGATAGGTCTTTATATACCTAAGAATAATGTTACACCAATAATCTTTTCTCACATATTTTTTTACAATCATTCGACGTAACAACTGAGTTGACCATTCCTTATGAAAGAATGGTCGCTCCTCATAGAAAGAATAACCTTTCCTTAGAACAACCAAATGAATTACTGTTCATAAATAAGAAAAAACAACTCCTAATGGCCGTTCATAAATAAAGAACAATCATTCCTAATGACTGTTTATAATAAGGAAACAGTCATTCCTTATGAAATGAATGGTTGTTTCTTAAGGAACAACTATTTCTTATGAAAGAATGATTGTTCCTTAAGGAACACCTATTTCTTATGTAAGAATGCTTGTTTTTTCTTAAGAAACAGATATTCCTTATAAAAGAATAATTGTTCTTTCATAAAGAATAGTCATTCTTTACGAAGGAAATTGTTCTTTCATAAAGAACAACCGTTCGTTTAATAGTGTCTTTTGATGTCTTGAGTGTTGTGAGAGTGAAGTGATAGTATTAATTTGTTGATATATTGGGATTATAAGAAAAGATTATGAGATTGAGTTGTAAAAATAACATATTTAATATTTAATAGATGGAGCGTGTGAAGCATATATGTTTATTAGGAAATAGCACGCACCCGGCAGTGAAACATGAAAATAACTCGAGCTTTTTCTACTCCTTTAATGTTAATTTAAAAAGCAGGAAGACGAAGGAGACACTAATTGGTTGAAGACAGCTGATGGTCTTCATGTATTATAGGTGTTATCCTCCAACGCTCGCCACCCTTCTTCCCTTCCAACCGCCTGATTCAGACAAAAATCAACGTGCCCAAATCATAACCCACTTCGTTGCATGCAACCCCTGCATGATAGCCTCTTCAACACGTGCCTCCTTTTCCTTCAACACGTGCCTCCCACTCTCCCACTCTTCCTCCTATTTAACTCTTCACTCTTTCCCACTTTCAACCTCAACTCATCAAAATCACCGATTTCCTTTTCTCAAATTCATCAAAACCTCTTTGTAACCGTCAGATTTTTCATCAATGGCTGAACATTACCAGCAGCTCCACCAAACACAGTACCACAACCAACAACAGCCTCGGTCCCACCAGGTTGTGAAGGCCGCCACTGCTGTCACCGCCGGTGGCTCTCTTTTGCTTCTCTCCGGTTTGACTCTGGCTGGCACCGTCATTGCACTGACCATTGCCACTCCACTCTTCGTCATATTCAGTCCTGTTCTTGTCCCTGCGGTCATTACAGTGGCTCTTTTGACCACGGGCTTCCTCGCGTCCGGTGGTTTCGGTGTAGCAGCTATCACTGTTTTGTCATGGATCTACAGGTATATAAACCTCAAAACCGAGCAGCCATTCACCTTCAATTGATGGTTTGATTAAGATCGTTAAACTCGCAGGTTTGTTACTGGGAAGCACCCACCTGGGGCAGATCAGCTTGATTATGCACGCAATAAACTGGCTGGTAAAGCGCGAGAAATGAAGGACAAGGTTGAGCACTANAAAAATTAAAATATGAGCAAATTGCAAAAACTAATAAATGAATAATTGAGAGATTAGAGATTAGAGAATATGAGAGAATGAAAGAATTTGAGTTGTGAGAAAAATGTGAGAACTTAGGGCCAATTTATAGAAAAAAAATAGGAAAGAGAAATGACGAAAAAGACCCTTTCAATGGCTATAAAACGGCTATATTTCAAGGGTAAAGGGATAATTTGAAAAATAAAATAAAAATTTTTATTTTTTTTTATTTTTTTCGGCCAACCCGGCGGGTTGGCGGGTTGTAACGGCCAACCCGCCGGGTTGCACACAACCAACCCGGCGGGTTGCCGGGTCTCTTGCAAAAGAGACAAAATAGCAACCCACCGGGTTGCGGGTTGCCATTGTGCAACCCGGCCCGCCCGGGGGTTACTGCCGGGTTAGGGTCAACCCGGATCGCCATCTTGGCGGTCTGGGCTTAACCCTCATTTTCCCGGGCCGGGTTAGGGTTGACCCGCCTAACCCGGCCCAAATTTTCCACCTCTACTCCTCAATGATAGGTCTTATATATACCTAATGAATAATGTTACACCAATAATCTTTTCTCACATATTTTTCTTACAATCATTCAACATGACAACTAAGTTGACCATTCCTTATGAAGGAATGGTGGTTCCTCATAGAAAGAATAATCGTTCCTTAGAACAACCAAATGAATTACTGTTAATAAATAAAAAACAACAATTCCTAACAGCCGTTTATAAATAAAGAACAATCATTCCTAATAGCCGTTTATAATAAGGAAACAATCATTCCTTATGAAATTTCTTATGAAGGAATGGTTGTTCCTTAAGGAACACCTATTTCTTATGTAAGAATGCTTGTTCTTTCTTAAGAGACAGACATTTCTTTTAAAAGAATAATTGTTCTTTCATAAAGAATAGTTATTCTTTATGAAGAAAATTGTTCTTTCATAAACAACAATCGTTCGTTTAATAGTGTCTTTTGATGTCTTTGGTGTTGTGAAAGTTGAAGTGATAGTACTGATTTGTTAACACGTTGGGATTTTAAAAAAAGATTATGAGATTGGATTGTAAAAATAGCGTTAGCACGCACCAGGCAGTGAAACATGAAAATAACTCGAGCTTTTTCCACTCCTTTTATGTTAATTTAAAAAGCAGGAAGACGATGGAGACACTAATTGGTTGAAGACAGCTGATGGTCTTCATGTATTATAGGTGTTATCCTCCAACGCTCGCCACCCTTCTTCCCTTCCAACGGCCTGATTCAGACAAAAATCAACGTGCCCAAATCATAACCCACTTCGTTGCATGCAACCCCTGCATGATAGCCTCTTCAACACGTGCCTCCTTTTCCTTCAACACGTGCCTCCCACTCTCCCACTCTTCCTCCTATTTAACTCTTCACTCTTTCCCACCTTCAACCTCAACGCATCAAAATCACCAATTTCCTTTTCTCAAATTCATCAAAACCTCTTTGTAACCGTCAGATTTTTCATCAATGGCTGAACATTACCAGCAGCTCCACCCAACACAGTACCACAACCAACAACAGCCTCGGTCCCACCAGGTTGTGAAGGCCGCCACTGCTGTCACCGCCGGTGGCTCCCTTTTGCTTCTCTCCGGTTTGACTCTGGCTGGCACCGTCATTGCACTGACCATTGCCACTCCACTCTTCGTCATATTCAGTCCTGTTCTTGTCCCTGCGGTCATTACAGTGGCTCTTTTAACCACGGGCTTCCTCGCGTCCGGTGGTTTCGGTGTAGCAGCTATCACTGTTTTGTCATGGATCTACAGGTATATCAACCTCAAAACCGAGCAGCCATTCACCTTCAATTGATGGTTTGATTAAGATTGTTAAACTCGCAGGTTTGTTACTGGGAAGCACCCACCTGGGGTAGATCAGCTTGATTATGCACGCAATAAACTGGCTGGTAAAGCGCGAGAAATGAAGGACAAGGTTGAGCACTATGGGCAGCAGCACACGGGGACGCAGCAGCATCAGAGCTCTTAAGCCGTGTTGTGTTGATGGGATCTCTGCCATGTGATGGACGTCGATGGTGATAGATGATTGGTTGGAGATCAAACGTCTATGATACAATCAAAGTGTTGTAGTTGAGAAGTCAATTGGTTCTATGTGTTTGTTTTTAATAAAGAGAGTGTTGTTGTAACGGGTTCTTTGTAAGGGTTTTTTTTTTTGTTAATTTGGTGCTACTACTCTTTGAAATGCACTCTTCTTAATCTTAATAGTTGCTCATTTCAGGTCCAGTGGTAATTTCTTTCGGTGTTTTAGTTTTTTTTTTTAATTTCAATTATCATCTTTATTTCGTTATATAATTGGCAAATCATCACCGGCGGCAAGGGCATGCATGTTAGAATTTTGACCACTGTGTTCTGCTCAACTGCGATGGGTGGTAGTCCAGCTCCGGTGGAAGGAGGTGGACACGCGGCATGTTGAGTAGAAGTGGTGAGTGACAGTTGCCATGCATTGGGTAGAAATGTCATAAATTTACCTAGTCAAGTCACAGGTGTTATCCACCACAAAGCAAAGATAATTTTTTACTATATTTTTTTTGTTCTTTTTCTTCTCGTTAGCAGACAGGTTCTGAACTTCTACAAATATGATGACATGAACGTGATACTTCACATCATTCGAAATAAATTACCCCATTTTTTGATCTCCTTTTTGTATTTAGTCACGTTAATGTCGAATCCTAATATTTCAGAGTTCTTAATTATATGCTTAATCCAGCCATTGAATATCGATTGAATCAATATTCAGTCCATAATTGAATTAAGGTATGTAATCAGAAGCTTTAGTTCCTCCTTGCTGAAATTCTGATTTAGACACACAATAATAGAAATTTTATGTTTCCATATAAAATTTGTTCCCATACAACACAACACAATCTTTCACCTCCTTTAATAACCTTTTCGGTTAACCATGAAATCCACAAAAATATTCTCATATTTGTACCATAGACCTTCTCTTGCACTTAAACTCTGTCAATCAAAGTTTCTTGTTGCAAGTCAAACACAAATTCACCACTTGGAATACTCAATTTGATCATTTCTAGCTTAAGGGATGACACAAACCTGTCTTAACTTGATAATTTCTATCCACGAAGAGGCAGAGGCAGAAAATTGATTTCAGATTAAAGTATAATGTTTGGCAGAGGCAGAAAATTGATTTGGGAGTAAAGTTAAAAGTTTGAGGAAATTGATTTTGGGGTAGAGTAGAATGTTTGACTAACAAGAGGTCAGAGTATGAAAATGAATAATAATTAATAAGTCTTCATTTAAGGGGACTAAAGCGTGAATTTAAACAAATAAGAAGAGAAAATAAAAAAACAAAGTGTTTAGAAAATAATTTTTAAAATTGATTAAAGCTGATTATGATGTAATTAGATTTATATTTGAGAATTTGTTTAAATCTGAAGCTGATGATGAAATACTTTAGTTTATAAAAAGAAGTTGAAAAAGTTATTTTTGTAGCTTTTGAAAATCAGATTAATCTTTTAATAAGTTTCAACTAAATTATTTTTTGTTTCTATGTATTTTTTACAGGTTTCAAATCTATATTGAGAGTTCTTAAGTGTAACATTTTTAGTTTCAATCTAGTGTTCTTAGTTAAGTCATTTTGATTTCAAGTTCAAGGTTAATAGTTGTAGGTTTTATATGATGATTTTTAAGTTTTATTTTTTACATTTCAATCCCAAGTTAAATGTTTCAAATCTATTGTTATTGATTTCAAATACAATGTTTTTTGTTTCATGTTTCAAGTCTATTTTCTAAATACACTCATAGCTTAATTTTTTTTTTTTTTTTTCACCAATCTTCATAGCTTCTAGAACTAATAAATATCAACCATCACACGTAGAATCATAGACTCAATATAAGCACATTTAATAATAGCACTACTTGATTTATTATTTATTAACTTACTGGAGGTAAGTGACCATTTACTAAAAGTAAAGGAAGTTGTTGATCTTTCCAAAAGCTGTAATGGAGGTCACAGATAATTAAACCAACTTGTAGTAATACTACTCCAAATATTTAAAAACATGAAGAAATTCACTGAAATATACACTTAAAAAAATAATCTACATTTGGCTTTCGCTATATTTGACGGTTAAGCTTATTGACGTTTATGAAACTATTTTTTACTTACTCATATTTCGCAATTAAGATGCGGTTTATTCTTCTCAGTCCTCAGGTCAGGCTAAGAACTAATTAATTAATTGTTTTATCAGTTTCTTTATTGTATATACTTCTGCTAGCTCCCACACGTGGCCTATATTAAGTTCCTTTTTTTTTTTTTTTTTTTTTTGAGACAAGGGGTGTCGGATTAATTTGTGTATACTTAATAATCCCTCAATGCCTGAAGTTGACAGCGGGTAAATCTCCTCAGTGACCACCTATTAACAACCTAAATATCAAACAAAATTCTTGAAAAATACACCAAAAATCTAGACCGTTATCATGAATGGTGTTATATAATTCCATGATAAATATGGATTATGTATAATCAAGTAGCAGCAAGATACACATAAAATACAAAAAGTAACAACAGAAAATACTCCATCTTTACTCAAACAGACACTGATATATGGTATTAATTACTGGAAACAACACATAAAATTATTACATCAAGAAAAAACAATAAGAACATGAACTCTCTTCACTCATTAAAACAGGAAAAATAAATACATAAACTTAAAAACACAAAATTAAGACCCTCCATCCAAACACAATTAATCTTTACACATTAAAGGCACCAAATTGAAGCGTATATGTGTAATCCATCCCAAAACATAAAATTACACTTGAAATTTACTGCACAACTCTGAAATCCATTCAATATTCGGCAAATCAAATCCGAAACTCAATCCCAACGCCGCGACTCTTCTCTCTTCCTCATCAATTTCCACCCTCAAACTCTTCAGGATTTCTAAACTCTTCAAAACATACTGATCACCAGTCCTCCACGTTGACGGAGAACCTGACGACTCAGCTATAAGAGCTGAGGAGGCATGCTCCCTCTGCCAAATTCCGATCCACTTCCCATCATGAAACGATCTCCACGTTCATTCTTTCCCTGAAAACAAATGGCACTTGTGTTTGGCGCTCGGGCGGAGTTATCGGGGTGTGGGCAAAGAAACAGACCTTACGTTGACAAAACCTCCCGCATTGCATGCACGTGTCCGGTACCGAGCGGGTGAAGCCAGTACTCGAAAACGCCGTGAGCGAAATCACGTGTCGCTTTCGGGCACTTTCCGTTTCGAAAAGCGGGGCAGGCGATAGCACAGTAGGGCACCTTGCGTGGGTCACGGCGCTGAGCCTTCTCCCTTTGTGGGCGTAGGGGCAGTCGGTCCAGTCTGGTGCGGGTCCGAGTGCACCGTTTGATCTTGTACGCATACATGCGGAAATCATCGGAGCCGTAGATTGCTTCGTCGAGCATCTTTTAGCCTAGGGTTTAGAGCTAAGCCACAAAATGGGTATCTGCGAATCGTAGAAATTGGAATTCACACCTGTCAACATTTTTTTTTTTTAAATTAAGGCAATTAGAAAAGCTGCTTCACAGTTTCAAAAAGACAGTGAAAAGCTTATATTCAGATAAAAATTAATATAGTTATGGCAATGATCCTTAATGGTAGTGTTGATTTTGCATAATAGAATATGCAGTTTGATAATTAAAGGATAATTGAGCTGATTAAGAGAGTGCAAAAAGGAAAAAGAAGAGAAAGTAAACGCAGAGAGAAGGCATTGACATGAAAAGAAACGAAAAGCAAAATGGGTTTAAAGAGGAAGCAGTGGAAGGTTGAGGAAGAGGTGATGCATTTATAGAGCAATGAAGTCAAGTGTTGTTCAGTTAAGTGAAAAAGTAAACCATATATAATGAGAGTTACTTTAACTCTTATCTAACGGTAACGGATGTCTCTGGTTTCCCCTGAGCCTTGAGGTTTTGGTTCTATTTATATATATATATATAACCACCATTTTAAGCACATTACCCATTGTTGTTACCCAATTTCATGCTATATTATCTCTTCCTTTTTTCAAATGTCTGTACTATAAGAAAGTGTGTCCTTCTAAGAAAGTGATTCTAGTCAACTTTGGGTATTGCCAACAAATGCTGGTTCTGAGAAACTTCTTTTCATCTATATATATTACAGATTGATAGTTAAATGAAGCATATTATGATAGGTTTATTTATGACATACACGTTAAGAAGAGCTTAAATACCGACTGCAGGTTAATGAAGGTTTCCATCATAATTAACAAAGGTCTTGTGTTGCCTTAGCTAATTACTTAAATGTTTGAATTTGTAATAAACGAAAGGGGTGTTGCTTTAATGAAACCAAAATTAACAAAGTAGTGAGTTTGAACAACATTTATTTACGCTATGATGAGGGCTCAAGTGGGTAATCCAATCGAGAGGATGCTGAAGTTAAGTGACGTCCCTGAGCTTCATAGTGAAGTAACGGACGTCTGAACAAAGAGTATAAAATTGGATAGGAGGGGTAAGTGCATGGCTAGCCACACGTGTTGGTGATAAGTACAAGGGCTTATATTAAGACAAATTGCAGCCTTAGATTCGCTTACGTGTTTAGGCTCTGCCCTGAGGTTTGTTTTAATTTGGCAACGTTTCTTATAAGGGTTTGCTAAAAAAATGAACAATGACAGCCAATTTACACTACACTTATTCGAACTAACTTCATTCGTTCCCTTCAATAAACTTCTGGGTTCATCTTCTTCCCTATGAACAGATTATCAAAATATAATAAAGATTTTAATTAATTTGGTGCTTTTCATTCTCTTCCTGTGGGACAACTATTGTTTAAATTGCATTGAGAGCTTCTAACTTTAGGTCTCTGAAATGTTTTAATTTCTTGTTAATTAGATATTAATTAAATAATCTATAATTTTTAGTGTGACTATCAACTACTCCTGCACTTTGTTGACAAAAAAACGAATTTGAATTCCAATATAACAATAAAGAGATAAGGTAAAACTACCTCTAGGTAATTTGACGGTTCGCTTGGGACTCTTAGGTGTATATCAAAAGGTCCTGATTCGAATCCTCATGACTACTAATAAATGGTAGTCATTGGAGATTACTTGATGTTAATTTAGGGTCTCAGATGACTGGTTGAGATACCGCAAGTGGTCTGGCATCCGGGATACCAAAAAAAGAAGAAGATAAGTAGTTAAACAATAAAAACTTGAATAATTATGATTTTGCTTTAATGACTTGATTAAATTTTACTTAAAAGAAACCATAAATTAAAATATGAGAATGAGGATCTTACCATATCCTTATCTTAGTCGTCTAAGGAAGTGATCATCAAACTTTTGATTTTTTTCATAAACCTGTCAATAAATAAAGATTAGATTTAAGATTAAGATATAATATAACAACAACAGAAGGGAATATTAACCTACAATTCAACCATGGAATTTTGAGTATTCATAATTCAAAGCAGAAATTTGAAACACAACACATTATGTAATAAGATTAACCTACAAGTACTAAAAGAACGGAAACCCTAATTATTTTTGTTTCTGATTCTTATTTATCAATCGAAAACAAAGTTTTCAATTTGATTAGATAATTTCTTAAAGATGAAGGCTTTCAAATGAATATGAGGGAAGAAATTTGAAAGAATAAATATTTCATAAAATTAAATAAAATTATCAATAAATAAGTAAGAAACCCATAAAATTACATGTTTTTCACACAAATATTTTAAATGATCACAAGATTTGCATATAAGATAAGCATCAAATTGTAAAATATTAATTTATTTTTCAATGAAAGGAAACTTGCAAATAAGCACTGGCATATAATAATTTCTGCTGCCTTATAACAAAAGACGAAGCATGCAATTGATAAAGTGAGATGATTTTGAAGGGAATATGACTTGCAATGATTAGTAAATTCATGTACATATATGGGCATTAGAAGCTTTATTTAGTATTAGGAAAATCTAAATTACAATTAAAAGTCTAATATTAGACCTACAAACTTCATTCCTCAATAAAAGATTTAAAAAAAAAAAAAAAAAAAAAACTTTGTTTAATTCAGAACAAGATCTGTATTGTATAGAACTTTTCATACTTTACCTTGAGAATGTCAATCAATAAAATTAATTATTCTGCCTCTTCTCAAATTTACCTCCACAACATGGATCTTCCCCTGATTTGCAATAAATAAAAAATAAATGATTACAATTAGCCCCTAAAAACCTCAATATAAAAATTTAAAATTATTTATATACTATTTCTAAATAATTTACTATTCAAGTAGGCGTCATCTTCCAGCATCGACTTTGGCCTCGATGTAGACAAGTTTTCCTGTGGTGGATATCTCAATATCTGAGATCAAGTTGAAATCACGAACAATTGATATAACTTTGAAATGCTAATTAGAGATGACAAAGTCAGGGGCTAGGGTCGAGTATCTGCATCCCTAGCCCTAGAACGGAGAAGAGCTCCCCAATTCGGAGGAAAAATAGGTAATTTTTTTGTCAGAGTTAGGGTTAATGATTCCCCAGATAAGGGCGAGTTTTTGCTTCATTAAGTTTACAACATAATTTAAAATGAAAAAAGGTTTGAATCTTGATACCGATGACTTTAAATGGTATCGGTGTTCACCGAAGCTCTTAAAAATGGTATTTATAATAATTCTATGAATTTTATAATTAATAAGCAGTGAGTTGAAGGATCTCTAAGTAAAAACATTTCATTTGTTTCCATTTATGCAATATGACATATTAATTGTTGTCTCGTACTTCATTATCGGTCAAGTGTTATTAGATATACAAGGCATAATTGGATTTTTATTAATATTCTTTATTATAAGAAATTAATGAATGTTAGTTTAAGGATTATTATAAGAAATTAATTAGAGTTAATATAATAGTACATCGAGCGGCTAAGATGTTGACACGTAGTGCTATGCTGAGTTTTTGACGGGTTGATTGATCGATTTGACAGTGGAAAAAGGGTCACATGGAACTAAAAAAAAAAATTGAAAATTAATATCAAAAGAAAACAAATAGGCGGTGTGGGTGTGGGTGTGCGTGTGGGTGTGGGGTTTGGGTTTAGTGAGTGATGTGGAAAACACTAAACAGATAATTTGCTAAAAATAGGAAAGGGGCACATGAGATGCACATGCAGAAGCACACGTGGTGGAATGTTATCTTATAATTAAGACAAAACTATGCAATGTAACCGACAGTGTGTGTCAGACACCTGATGTTCCGCGAGCGTTTCCTGTTGATTTACTCACAAAACGACATACCAACTCAACTAATGTTGCATCACATCTTACTGTTACTGTCCATATATGAAACTACCACTACCACCCAACCCAACTTTTATTTTCCTCAAATTAGTGTGAGATCAAGCTTGTAAAAATAAATATAAATATTTCTTATAATTTGAAGAACTTTCTATGACATTTGTGATTTGCTAAATGGTTGGGATTCTCAAAGCTTGTAAAAGACTAACAATTCTCTGTTATCGATCTGAGTCCAAATAATTTTGTAATTGACATTAAATAGTTTTGGATAATAAAAAAATACTAGATATTATCATAACTAAAACATTATTAAAGAAGAGATAAAAAAAATTATGATATCGTTTAAACTTTCTTAAAATTGTAAGTATGAAAAAAACAATAAATTGTATTTGAGTTAAAAAAAAAAAAAAAAGATATGAGATGGAATGATTTAAATACCTGTTTATGTTATGTAGATCTAACAAAGAAAGAACTCATAAGACAATTTACACACCAGATTTTCTTCACTTTCATGTGATAATATTATTTTATGCTTTGTAGATTAATTTTTTTTTTTTTTTTAGTTTCGTTTGGAAGAGGGTTTATAATTGAAGTTAGATATTTGGAATTCTTCAAGAGATTTGTACCTTATTTTTATGAAGGTTAAGAAGATATAGGGTAATATTGGAATAGGATATATAATGAAATTTATTTAATATAGAGTTTAGAGAGAGTTTGGATGGGCTCAAATAACAACACTCTTCTAAAAATGGAGAAAAAGCCCGAGTTCTTAATAACCAGGCCGGGCCTGTCAGGGTTTAAGGCCTGGATTTGATAGAAATAATCAGGTGAAAGACAGTTGATAGTTACGGATATAGTTCTTTCAGGAGAATATATTTTTTTCGTAGGGTAATATAAAATAAATAAATAAATAAAAATCACCGCTAGATGACCCAACGGTTAACTAAAACTCTTAAATGAATTACTCAAAAGATCATTAATTTGATCCATCTGAATTGCTAATAGGTGTAACTACTAAGAGGATTTACACGATTGTCAACTTCAAAATCTTGAAAGATTAGTTAAAATACATATAAACTGACCTAAACACCTTCGGTAACCCAAAAAAAAAGAAAAAAAAAACGAAACCGGGCCCATAATAACTATTGGTGGTG